TTTTCAATATAAAAAAGAATTTATTTATTTAATTTATTGCAATAATAGGGGAGTGGCGATGACAAACATATCCGCCAACGCGGTTTGTACGCGGAGAGTAACATTATTTCCCGGCATGTCATTTCCGCATCATCTCCTTTGACGGCCACGTCAGCCTCCTAGAGGGGACCACTAATTCTATTTTAAATTATGTAAATGCCCTCCCCATTTTATCAACATTAGTGACTAATTTACTTGTCCCTTACGGACCTTCTACACTCTCTGGCTAGTAAGTGAGAAAAAGGAAAAAAAAAAAATCTAAAAAAAAACACGGTTTTTTTCCCCTTAAAAAGTAAAAATATTGGGGGACAACTCCTCAAAAGACAAATATATGAAATATTAGTTAAAATAAATATTAAATATATTAAATACATTTTATATATTTTTGAAATATTAAAATATTAAAAAAACCTACTACTGTAATTACAGTCCACTACTTTCAAATTAAGACCAGGTCAGGTTGAGTAATACTAGAACTGTTTAATTAATTCCTCATCCAAGATGACATCAAGTGCGTGTGTTAGTGTGGCACTGGCACCCAGCCAAAAGCACTCTGGTTAGAGCTAAGGAGGGTGGCTTGACACGGTAAAGTGTATATGGGGTTCTAATTCTACATCGACTAGGAAAACAGAGATCTTAAAACAAGTTGGTAAATCTTAAAACAAGTTGGTAATCTTAATTAAACAGAGAGAGTTTATCAAGTGTAAGGATAAAAATCCTCAGAACAAGCACTTTACCTTCTCATTTCACTGACATTTAGATGCCTAATTTAAAGAATAAATCCTTATAATTTAATAATCCATCAAAATTTGACAACGGCTTTCTACAACTAATATTTGCGATTGAATTCAGTGAAGGAAATAAGAAACAGCGAACAAATATATCATGCCTGTATTGATATGGGACAAAATATATAATCGGAGTCAAAGAAACATGCAGAACTAATCTGCAATGACACATGCCTTAGCCACTTCAAAATTGAACATCATAACACAAATCATGAAAGAATTTTACGTATTGAAGAAGACTAGCTCTGGGAATTAAATTAATCTTTCATGCCTGCCTGGTAATATTGCAACTTTAACAGTTTTTAAATCCTTCTCATAAGTCCAGCATAACACCAACAGGGAAGGAGGCATCATCAAAATAGTTCCATATAAGACGATGTACTCAGTTGTTAAATTATGTAATATTTGAGACAAAAATGGGATTAATGATCATAAAATTATATCCTTATATATGTTATAATCATCAGTTTGATAAAAACTTCACGATCGATTATCATATCATTTTAAAAAAAATAGATATGCAAATAAATTGATATGAATAATCCAAGAGTGTATTATAAAAAATGAAAATTTCTTATTTGAATAATTGAATCAGATATTGATTATTTTCTATTTGTAGAATTAGTTTAGTACCCTGTGAGGTGGGGGTACTACTAGACTCATCCAAGTGCGCATGTTAGTACGCCGTCCAAATTAAGCTCTTTGATTAGAGCTAAACATGGTGGGCTGACAAGTGTATTAGAGGGTCGAAATCTACAGCAAATAGTGGAAAACAGAGAATTTAAACGTTCTGTCCCTCAAAAATCCTCGAGTAATTTTGCATGTGCAAAATTTGAATGTGGATATGCCGTATACCACTTATTTTTTTGAAAAGCAAAAAAGAAAAAAAAAAAGAAAAGGATTTTTCAACGACTCTCTCCTTCCACGTGGTTGACTTCCGTTAAGATAGCTAGAAAAATGTCAGTTTAAGATTGAGTTTTGTGTCTTTTCAAATGATTTGCAAGTGGGAGAGATGCCTTCCTACATAATGGGTTGCTAATTTACCTTGGATAATTCCAAAGACTTTACCAATACCATAAATTTAAAGTCAACAGATTCTAAATGAACCGAATGAAATGCAAATTAGAATAAACTTGATATTTATTGCATGAAAGTAAATCAAAAAATGAATTACACAAACTGATTTGGCTACTTAAATGCTAAAAACAACCTAAATTTATTGTGATCTGTGCTAAAACTGAAATCTATAAGTTAAGGTGAGCAATCACTATGAAACTAGACAATTGAAAATTTGATGAGTTTTGTGTAGGATTAATCGTTGTATGTTGAAAAATTTGAAAACTTCTTTTTATATGCTTCTTGCGAACTATCCTCTTGTTTCACCCGTTAACTGTTACAAATCATGGGTAATTTCTTGGAAAAAATAATGGGCACATCAATAGGACCAAATTAAGGCGGCATTAGATCTCACCACTTGTACAATTCTATTGCTACCTTAACCTCTCAAATGTACTTCCTAAATTATAGGAATTTCTGTTTTTTTTTTTAATTTAAGCTGCAACCACTACAAGGAGATGCACCTATACTGACGGAACTTTTCCGTCTGTATAGACCCATTTTCCGTTGGTATAGACCCCAAGGACTATTCCAAAGGACTAACTTTCAGTCGGTAGAAACCTCGTCAGTATAGGGTCTATACCAATGCCTAATCCGTTTGTATAGACCCCTGGTCGATTCCGATGGAAGACTTATCCGTTGGTATAGACCCTGAGAAATCTTTTGAATTTCCGTCTGTATAGACCCTTAAGTCTATTCCAATGGAAGATTTTATCCGATGGTATATACCCTTAGATCTATTCGATGGAAGACTTATCCGTTGGTATAAACCCGAGAAATCTTAAAAATTTTTCCGTTTGTATAAACCCTCATTTACATATAGATAATTTCAATGATATACCGACAACTTTTTCCATCAATATAAATCCTTTTTTTTTTTTTACAATTGATATTTCAATTTTAGTTTATTTTATTTTATTTATAATTTTATTGATAATTCAATTTTATTTATAAATTTTTGTACCTATAACAT